ACCAGTTTCTGATGACTTAAACCAGTTTATGTGTAACTTCTGTCTCTACCCCTTCTGTCCTGATTACTGTAACCATTGCCACAGCTCGCTTCTCTGAAGCCAGTGTTGCTCTTTTCCATTCTATATAAAGTGGGTAGCGAGGATCAGCTACTTTGTTCCTAACAGGTTGCCCTTTTCTGCTCTTAACTTCTAGCCTAAGTTTGTGTTCTCCAGGGCAAAAAGGTCAGTGCTTTTGCCAGTTGGATCCCTTTATAACATACTCCATTCTGCTTATTGGTCCTTGTCTCTTTACACCTTACTCCCGTGTCCTCTGCTTCACGGGGAAGGAGAAACATAAGTTTCTCATTGGTCATGCTTTGTTAATACAGGCATACCTTGTTTTATTGCGCTTCGCAGATATTGCATTTTTTACAAATTGAGGCAAGACCCTCCACCAGCAAAAAGATTACGACTCGCTGAAGGCTCAGATGATGGTTAGCATTTTTTAGCAATGAAGTATTTTTTAATTAAGGTATGTACATTTTTTTTTAGACATAATGCTATTGCACACTTAATAGACTACAGTATAGTGTAAACATAACTTTTATATGCACTGGGAAACCAGAAAATTCGTGTGACTCGCTTTATTGCGATGTTCGCTTTATTGCGGTGGTCTGGAACCAAACCCGCAATGTCTCCAAGGTATGCCTGTAGTCAACTCAGATACAATATGCTACTCTGCCACAGGTAAAGCAGGGGGACCAAAAGCAGCTACTACCCTGCTGCTGCAAATGTTCTTAATATATGCTCAAAAGATCCTAGGAAGAAGGCAACCCCCCCCAGTCCATACCAATGTGCCCAAAGTAAAATTCCTTCCTGAACCCCCAAATACTGTGACCAATCAGACCCAGAGCAGAGGGGCAAGACCCCCTATCCAGGAACCTCTGTGTTTAAGTCCCAGCAAGACCCACTGGCACACCCCAGTCCCAAAGCAGAAACCAAAGCCCAGAAGCATAGGAACTACCTATAGTTGAACAGACACCTACATCAGCCTTGACCAATGCCTGTTCAACCTCTTCTTGAATGACAGTCCACAGCTTCCCTAGGCAGTCTGTTCCACTGCCTCACTGTTCCAACAGTGAAGATTTCCCCCAGTATCCAATCTAAACCTATTTGCTACAACTTCAAAGCACTGGTCCACATCCTACTCCCTTTTCTTCATGACAGCCCTTCAGTCATCTGAAGATTGCTCTCATGTCCCCTCCTAAATATTTTTTCTGCAACCTGAACATGCCTAGCTCTTTCAGCCTCTTGTCATGTCACTTGTCTACTAAGCCCTTTATCATTTTTCTTGTCCGTCTCCGACCCTCTAACTTGTCTATGCCCCTTTTTAGAATGAGGAGCTCAACTCCACATACAATACTCTAGATGAGTCCTAATCCCAGTCAGAGTAGAACAGCCATCACCTCCCATGTTTTGCACCTAATGCTTCTATTGAAGAATCCCAAAATTGGATTTGCCTTTTTTTGCAGTCACAGTGCAGACTCGCACCAAGTCTGTGACCTACCAAGATGCCCAAATCTCTCTCTGTAGTGCTGCCATACAGTCAGGTGTCACTCATTTTGAATTTGTTTCCAAGTATTTTTCCCCAAAGTGTAGCACCTTGCACTTGATGGCACAGAGCTTCATTCTAGCCCAGCTTTCCAATCTGTTGTGAACTTTGCGAATTGTCACTTCAACCTCCAACACATTTACAATCCTTCCCAGTTTGTCATCATCTGTAGATTCCAGCATCCAGATCATTAACGGATTGAACAGCACTGGGACCAGGACAGACCCCTTTGGAACTCCACAGAAAGCTTTCTGCCATTGTGATATGGATCCATTTATAAATTACCTTTTGCTCAAGGCTATTGAGCCAGTTGTTTATCCACCTATGGAAACAGTACAGTCTAGGCCATATTTCTAGTTTTATTTTTTTTTAAACAAATACCCGACCTAGACTTATCCTGCTTCAGGAAATTAGAGAGCAAGCTGGCTCAAGATATGCATGTAACAGTAGAGACTGCATTTTCTATTTAGTTCATTTCAATCTACATAACAAGGCACAAAATTAAACTACCTAGTTCTACTTCATTGTATGCTTTCATGGAAGCCATTGCCCCAAAATGCTGTTTGCTGAGATAGTGTCATGTAATTCTGCAATTACTCGTTTTGAATAAAAACTACTGCACTGAGCTCTTGTGATAAGGAGTTCTATAACCAGTAGTCTTCCAAGTATCTAAATTGAAAGCATCTCTCACCATGATAGACCAAAAAAAGGACGTACCCTAGAAATCATAACTTGAAGTCTGCCACTGCCTCACAAACAAAGTAACTGATCCTAGGCAGTAGATAGGTAAACTTTCAAGTTTATACCATTATAAAAGCTGTTCCTGTGTAAACAGCCTCTAGGGCTAAAGGTCAATTATCCTTCCTAGTAAGAACAAGGGGCTAGAGCTTCAACAGAACACTGCCCCTTAACTGGTAAGTAGTCCCACTACTGATCTATTGAATTCTAGGCAAGAGCTTGGTAAATTTTTCAAATGAAGTAAAAGAGCACTGTACTATATTACTGCTATGATACAGGTGTGGAAAGGTGGCATGTGACCTTCACTAAACAATAAACTAGAGCTTCCAGACAACATGAGCAGAAGAGCCATTTTTCCACATCTGAGAAAGAGAAACTAGAAGTCTTCATAAGTTTAACATGCAGAAACACTTGCATATGAAAAAAGTTAAGTTTAACAGCAGCTACTCCAAAATTAAGAGTAACATCTTTCTTGGGCTTCTAATTCTGCAAGAGGACTTCATCACAGAAAAACACCTATGAAGACATGCAACACAATTATGAACATTGTTATGTCTTTTATTAGGGTGTAATGGGATGACCCCATTAGGGTGTAATGGGATGACCCCCCCCCAGTTTTAGTCAATTGCTCTAAATACATACCCTGGAATTAAAAAGTTTCCTTTTACTTTGCTTCTTTAAAATGCACAGTATTGAATAAGTAATGACCACTCATGCCAATTCTCAAAAATAAGTGGAAACATTGGAGGAAAACCTCAAGCTGACAAAACACATCATTATCCATGTGTCAAAGAGAATAAGAGCTAATCTTTTAAACAAAAAGGGAAAAAAAAAGCTCTATTTTGCCAATTGCTAAGACTACCAATCCCTTGGGAATTTGAAGAAGTGTTAATAAGGCACAGTAATCCTTGCCAACATGTTTAGGCTTTATATTTTGCACCCTTACCTCTTGCCTTGATTTACCAGTTTTGAGACCACTTACGGCATATCTTTATTTAAAATAGACAAAAAAAGAAAAGAAGAGGCACTTACTACTTTGCTCCCTGTTGATCTACGTATTCCTCTACTATTAGATATGCTTCTTGGGCTGGCTGAAGTTCCCAGTGGAAGAGTCGTGGAAAGATGAGGAGAACCAGAAGGCATCAAAGGAGTTATCAAATTATCTAACATACTCCGTTTGGAGTTGGAGTTTTTATTTGCAAAAATTAGAGGTTCATTGTACCCAGCATCACCACTGCCAATTTCAATCTTCTCTTCATTCTTGATGCTTTTCAACCAATCTTTTAGCATCAGCTGGGTTGAAGGCTGGCTCAGCCAGCATAAGAACAGTTCATCCACTTTCATTTTTAGTACAGGCTGCAAAACTTTCCCAGATGGCATTTTCCACCAATTTAGCCTTGTTCCACCAGAAATTCAATACAATGTTGAGACTTTTCACAGCTTATCCCGCTCTTTTCCTTTGTTTCAAGAAATCCAAGATTCCTGTTAAAGGAAAAAACTTTTTGTTACTTAACATGATAGCCAAGGCAAAATGAAACAACCTTAATTAAATCCCAGATGGTACTAACCCAGTTTGTGGGTCTGTGACAAACATGTAAAAATAAAACAAGAAACTGACCACATTCCAATGCTTAGGAATTAGTACCCTATCATCACCATAAAGACTTTTAAAACTAACTCAGAAAGTAGCAGTTCTTTGTGAATCCCCACCCTGCACTGCTATACATACACACCACATAAGGTAAACATTGATCTGGTTAGTCAAACACTGGCAGCTTTCTCCATCTCTCTCTGTGAAGACGTACAGTTTTAAGGTCTTTGCTTTGGTGATGATGGATAGTTCTTCAAAAGGCTGTCTATGACTCTAGAAAACTACTACAATAAGCAATGTAACTCCATGAGTTCATGTTTTAGGGAATTTAGCATTAAAAAAAAATTAACATTGAGGAATCAAACATTCAAGGGTGAAGGTTCAATCTTAATTCTGCAACTTCTGATTATGTCTGAATGCAGATGCTCAAACAGGGTGTCATTGCTTTGAGATTCTTTTAGGGGTGTTGTTGGGTGCCACACAGAACTGTTAAGAGTGCAAACATTATTCACATGATAAACAGAGATTTCCAAAAGGAATCCATAGTCTTAAAAACATTTTGATCATTTGTGGTCAGAGTTCTTTGCAACAGAATTACTCTATTGTTTTTCTGTAGTCAAAGTGAATGAAACGCAGCTGGTATTCTCCAAGAGATTCTTCAAGTCCACCTTGGGGTACCTTGAGTCTAAAAAGTTGAAGAACCACTGCCTTAAGTGATATCAAAAACACAACATTTTAAAAGTTATCTGTCAATATAAGTGAGGTTTCTTATTAAATGTATACAAGTAAGTTATGGGTATCATCTTCAAACTTAAATTTAGTTCATTTAATAAATATAGAGACACAATTTGAATGTGTCGAATATTTTAATGGATTTTTAACCTTTACAGTTCATAAAAATAAACTGAAACCCAAGCTTAATCTACATTAGAGTGCCATCAGCTAATAACATGGGTATCAGAAAAAATAATTAGTGGTCAACACAGCTAGGCTGGCAAAACCCCTGATGTGGGCCCAGCTGGCGTAATGCTTGCAGCAGAAAGACTTCTGCCAGCATTCACTCTAGTGATTCTCATGCTATCATTCAAGTGATAGCAAGGCCCAGGGGTTGGGAATGTCTGGCTGGCAGGCCAGATTTGGCCCACAAAAGCACTGAATCTAGTCTACAGATATAGGGTTTTGGCTGTGGGGGAGCTCTCTTCATGCTGCCACAGAAACAAGAGCAGCAGCCAAGCCTTGGCACCCACCTGCTTCTGACTTGGGGTGGATTGTCTAGGTCAGTGTTTCTCAAACCATTGGTTATGACTTAAAAGTGGGTCACAAGAATATATGAAAGGGTCACAAACAAACTTTAAAACTGCATCAACAGTTTCAAAATGGATTCGCCTGTAAAGAAAAACGTGTGAAACCAGGGCTGCTTGGGGCCCCCCTGTGCCCCTCCCACCCCACACACCCAGTCCCTTCCCCATACCCTGGGGGTCTGGAACCTGGGGGCAGAGGGCAGGACTGGCCATTAATGTTTACAAATGGGTCCTGGTACATAAAAGAGGTTGAAAGCCACTGGTCTTGCCCACACCCAGAATAGGCTGACTTATCCTACCCCGACTTATCCTGTTGATATGGCTATAAGGCCTTTGCATCATTCTCACTTGAGAGAGAGGCCACAATTTGAGGCAGGAAGCAGAAGGTTACAACTAAACAGTGAGAACAGAACCAAAGTTGTTTGATGTTGGTCATTTAGGTGGATTACCTGATAACCTTGGACAAGCTACCTAAACTCGCACCTCGATTTCCTCATCTACTGGAAAAACCCATGTACAATGAAGTACCATTGCTCACTGTTTGTTTCTAATACACCAACTCAAGTTGGAAGACATGATAGGACAGTATTTGTAAGGCTTCTGCTACACGTTACATATACAGGTTTCCCTCACTTTATGCGGGTTCTATATGTGCAAATTCACTCTCACGTGACAGTCTTGTATAAGTGGTAGAACTGGATCTGGGGGTCAGCACAGTCAAGGTCTTGGAATGTATCCCTATTTGTTACGTTGTAAACCATGTTCCTTTTATGGAAATTCAAGTTATGCGCCACTTTCCAGGAACACACATACAGCATAAAGCTAGGGAAACTTGTATTACACAATTAACTGCTCAACTGTGCAATAAATTTAGACTGGCCAGACATGCCATTTCAAGAAATAATCACATGATTAAAGTGACTGTCCAGCTATAAGAGAGCCAGCCAGCTACAAAGTTAGCACTTAAAAGTGTGTAACAATTCTACAGCTGGTTTCTATTCTGCTTTTATTTGAATGTGTAGTAGGGCTCTTAAAGGGCATTTAAAGAGGAGTTAAATGCCAAACCACTGCTCCTATTGTCAGCTCAGCATATTTAAGAAGTCAGCAAGCTGGGGTTTCACCTAGTACCAGAACAAGTGCATCTCCCAGTCCTGGGCCACTACAGGCTTCTGGCAATGCTACGAATGGTTTCAATTTCCCCCAAGGTGTAGCTGGCTCCCCCAACACCAGCACTCCCTCACACAACATCACTGCACTGAGACAGGACCTGCGATCTCTCTTGCTAGGAGCCTCTGCAAACGGTTAGTACATCCCAGTATCTCCCCCTGAAACAGTGGTTGTCAACCTGTGGTCCACAGATGATCTCTAAAGGGTCCATGAAAGAGGACTAGGATCAACCAGAACTATGCAAATACCCACACTTACAATTCAAAGGTGTGTGCACCTCCACAACTTCCACAGGGGTCTGCAAAAGAAAAACAGGTTGAAAGCCACTGCTCTAGCAACCTCTGTGAAGCTGGTTGGTACACCCTGCACAGTTCCTTGCTAGAGCCCCTTCATAACCCATTAGGTCCCACAGTCTCTCGCTAGAAGCCTCTCTACAATCTGTTGGTACATCCCAATGTCTATCTAGATCGACCCCCTCCGCCACCTGTTGGTACATCCCACAGGGTCTCTCACCAGAGCCCCGCCCCCAGCTGGTACGCCCCAAGCGCTCATGCTCTGCAGCCACCCGAGGCAGGAGGCGTCGGGTACCAGTGACGTGCCCCCGCCCCGTCACTGCGCCCGTGTTTTAAAGCCCGCGCCCGCTTTCCCTTCAGCTGCCTGCTCCACACGTGAGCGCAGGGCGTCGCAGCACCTACACCGCCCCGCCCCGCAGGCGGATTCCGGGCCCGGGCGGGGCGGGACGTCCGGCCACGCCCGAAGCCGTTAGGAACCGGGGGACAAACCGCCGCTCCGTCTCCCCCCCCCCGCACCCACCTCCACGCACAGGCCCCGCCCAGCCGGGCCGGGCCAAGCCGGAGGGAACTGCTGTACTGGGGAAGGTGGGGAAGCTTCCGACCCCTCCTAATTCACCTCCCCACACCCCGCCTCCTCCCGCCACCGCCTTCAAATCGGCACCTCGCTTCCGGCTCTCCCCATCCCGCCCCGCGCGCTCCATTTAAGACAGCGGACAAGTCTCGCGAGACGCCCCCGGCGAGAAAGAAGTGGCGGCTGGTTGCCGTGGCGACGGGAGGGCGGGAAAGGAAAGTCGCGGGCCTGGACTGCGTCGGTTCTGGCTTCTGTGTCGTGACATCGCAGTCCCGCCGTCTTCCCGCCCCCAGCTCTTTCCCAGAGGCTTTCCTGCGTTCTCTTTTCCCAGCAGGCTGTACGGCACCCCCCCCACCCCTGGCCATTCCCTCAGGGCGGGGCATGGAGCGCGGCTGGGAGCCCTCCCTTTGCCCCACTCGCACGTGCCTCCGCCTTAGAGCTGGCCCTTTTCCTTGGCCCGTGGGGTAGAGTGCGTTTTCCCCGTGGGTTTTTCCCTTGGTTGTTCCCAGCTGGTTCAATCCAGTAAAGGAGCCCAAGCCTGCATGAAAGGCCATAGCCCCTGGGCCTTTCTGTCGGGAAATGGCTGCGGTTGCTCTGGCTAGGAGAATCAGTGTTCAAATTACACTTTAACTCTTGGGGGAGAGGGGTAGTCTGCAAAAATAAATGGGCTGCCCGTCACGGATGCCCTAATAAAATCGGAGCCCCCCCCCCGTTATGATTTTCAAATCTTACAGCAGGGCTCTAATCTCTCAGCCCTCTCCAGCTCCCCAGTAATTCAAACCCTGAGCAGCATGGGGAAGGGAAGGGCAAAGGTGAGTGGGACAGTAGCTTCCATGGAAGACAGGGATACTCAGTGTCTGGCCTGTGACATCCAGCCCATGGGGATCTCCCCTGGCTCCAAAAATTTAACAGCAGGGTGCAGTAGATACACTACACAGCCAGCTCCAGCCTCAGGCCTGCTCCCCCACCCCCAGTCCCAACTGGGCCAGGATGCTCCCCACCCCCCACCAGGTTGC